GAACACAATATTTATTTGAACTTGTTTGCTTGTTCATTAAAATATTCAGTTTCTCAGTCATTAGTGGTGAACACAATATTTATTTGAACTTGTTTGCTTGTTCATTAAAATATTCAGTTTCTCAGTCATTAGTGGTGAACACAATATTTATTTGAACTTGTTTGCTTGTTCATTAAAATATTCAGTTTCTCAGTCATTAGTGGTGAACACAATATTTATTTGAACTTGTTTGCTTGTTCATTAAAATATTCAGTTTCTCAGTCATATAAGAGTGATTAACTTCTAGCGTAACTATGTACACAAGATTTCTCTTAGTTTAACTGTTTATTGGAATAATTAGTTTCTCAGTTTTTCATATAATGTTTTTGGTTTTTTCAAACATTAAAGTATGCAGCAATGTAGCCAATCGTGAATCTATAGGTAAAAACAGAAAGTATGTCCTGTACTACCATGTAGCCAATCGTGGATCTGTAGGTAAAAACAAAGTAAATCCTGTACTACCATGTAGCCAATCATGGATCTATAGGTAAAAACAAAGTAAATCCTGTACTACCATGTAGCCAATCGTGGATCTATAGGTAAAAACAAAGTAAATCCTGTACTACCATGTAGCCAATCGTGGATCTATAGGTACAAACAGAAAGTAAGTCCTGTACTACCATGTAGCCAATCATGGATCTATAGGTAAAAACAGAAAGTATATCCTGTACTACCATGTAGCCAATCGTGGATCTATAGGTAAAAATTTTTACCTATAGATCCACGATTGGCTACATGGTAGTACAGGATTTACTTTGTTTTTACCTATAGATCCATAATCGGCTACATGGTAGTACAGGATATACTTTCTGTTTTTACCTATAGATCCACGATTGGCTACATGGTAGTACAGGATATACTTTCTGTTTTTACCTATAGATTCACGATTGGCTACATAGTAGTACAGGATATACTTTCTGTTTGTACCTATAGATCCACGATTGGCTACATGGTAGTACAGGATTTACTTTGTAAAGTAAATCCTGTACTACCATGTAGCCAATCGTGGATCTATAGGTAAAAACAAAGTAAATCCTGTACTACCATGTAGCATTTCTATTTGGTGGACATTCTGAAACCCATATATGTGAAGAAAGAAAACCTAAAAGAATTCAGAGCAGAGAGGCATCGTGTGACACGAGTGAAGATAGAGAAACCCATATATGTGAAGAAAGAAAACCTAAAAGAATTCAGAGCAGAGAGGCATCATGTGACACAAGTGAAGATAGAGAAACCCATATATGTGAAGAAAGAAAACCTAAAACAATTCAGAGCAGAGAGGCATCATGTGACACAAGTGAAGATAGAGAAACCCATATATGGGAAGAAAGAAAACCTAAAACAATTCAGAGCAGAGAGGCATCATGTGACACTAGTGAATATAGAGAAACCCATAAAATGTTTAAAATGTTGCCTTTTTTTAAATTAAGAAATCAAAACTTGTGTAATATTGTTATTTAAATTATAAACTATTTTTGATGTCAAGTTTATTAGTAATAAGGTTGTTGAAACTGTAAAAGGTTGTAAGTTGCTCACTTTGACCACCTCCCTCCCATGCACATATGGTTAATGCAAATTTCTGCAAAAAATGGCTTTGTTTCAGTTTTGGAATGACCACCAGCTGAAATGTTACTATAAAAAAAACAGGTATGTTATTTGTTTTTTGATTGAATGTGGTGTTTAAGATTAATCATTGCAAATATGTGACTTTTTTGTTTTAGACAAAACCATTAAGTTGTGGAAGGTCTCTGAAAGAGACAAGACGATTGACGGGTACAACCTGAAAGATGAAAATGGGCAGGTAAAAGACCCATCTTTCATTACTACATTGCATGTGCCAGTGGTAAAACCCATGGAACTGATGGTGGAAGCGAGCCCCAGGAGAATATACGGAAACGCCCATTCGTACCATATTAATTCCATTTCAGTAAACAGTGACCAAGAAACTTACCTCTCAGCTGATGACTTGAGAATTAATTTGTGGCATTTAGAAATAACAGACCAGAGCTTCAGTATCCTTTATGTCAGTTCTGTGTTGAATGTATGCGAGCTGCCTTATGATCAGAGTGTTTAAAAGTTGTGTTAGACTTTCTTTGTGTGACTTTCAGATGACATTGTTGTGGCTGAGCATATTTTTTATGTGGTTCAGCTAGCCTTTCTTTCTGTGACTTTCAGATTACGTTGTTGTGGCTGAGCATATTTTTTATGTGGTTCAGGTAGCTTTTCTTTGTGTGACTTTCAGATGACATTGTTGTGGCTGAGCATATTTTTTATGTGGTTCATGTAGCTTTTCTTTGTGCGACTTTCAGATGACATTGTTCTGGCTGAGCATATTTTTTATGTGGTTCAGAGAACCTGCATCTGTGCCCCGCTGAACTGGATTTATACATCTTTCCTTGTGTAGTTAAGCTTGAAAAATTAAAAACATTCAGTAATGTTTGCTTAATCTTGTTGTATTCTTGTTTTAAAAAAAGAACATAAAAGATAGGTGTAACTAACTAAAATTTTCTGTTTTATACAACTTTAAGTTTCATTATTATATTTTCAACTATATTTTCCTGTTGTATTTTATATATTACTGATGAAAAGGATGCAACTGATATTAAAAAGGCCGTTCAAGATGTTTGGTAACAATAAAAAATACATGAAAAACTACAGGTAATAGAAGTGACCCTCAAAAATATAACTAGTTCGGTAAAAAGGTTATTGCTTATTTTGTTGAATCACATGAGTTTTTACTTTAATGGAAGGTATAAAAAAATTTGATTTTACTTAATGCTGTTGAAGATATCGTTGATATTAAACCAACAAATATGGAAGAGTTAACTGAAGTCATCACTTCAGCAGAATTCCACCCATCTCAGTGTCATACATTTGTGTACAGCAGTAGTAAAGGAACTGTAAGACTGTGTGATATGAGATCATCAGCACTTTGTGACCACCATTCAAAATGTAAGCATATTAATTAAAGGACTTGTATCACATCTCATATAGTGTTCTCTTTCTTAACTGTTCCTCATAATTAAAGGACTTTTATCACATCTCATGTAGTGTTCTCTTTCTTTACTGTTCCTCATAATTAAAGGACTTGTACCACATCTCATGTAGTGTTCTTTTTCTTTACTGTTCCTCATAATTAAAGGACTTTTATCACATCTCGTGTAGTGTTCTCTTTCTTTACTGTTCCTCATAATTAAAGGACTTTATCACATCTTGTGTAGTGTTCTCTTTCTTTACTGTTCCTCATAATTAAAGGACTTTTATCACATCTCGTGTAGTGTTCTCTTTCTTTACTGTTCCTCATAATTAAAGGACTTTTATCACATCTCGTGTAGTGTTCTCTTTCTTTACTGCTCCTCATAATTAAAGGACTTTTATC